TATATATATATATATATATATATATATATATATATATATAGACACATACACCCAAAATTTCCATTCAAAGACTGTGGTGCATTTAACAGCATCATTTATTCTACTGTATCTTTTTATCAGTAATATATTTGTATTAAATATGTTATTAAATGTTCATTCTCCGAAGTTCATTGTCGATCTTACGCGTTCTTTTTTAAAATACATGGAACGTTGTTAACATCGACAATAAATAAACAAAATGCTAAAAGAGGAGTATTCGATTTCGGTTGCGATACACAGATTAACTGCAATGAATCCAGGAGATAATCATTCCATCTGTCTGAACGCCATTCTTGTACATTTGCGATACATTTGACACACATCGTTTGTAATTCAGAATAGCAGTTGTAAATTACACGCGAATTACTTTGCAGCTTCAACATTTCGGGCTATTTAGCGAAAGAGATATAGCTATATATAAAATGTACAGTAATTTATAATTTATTTTACCATTTGTGTAAAACACATGAAGAAGAAGGCCATGATTCTACTTCATATATATATATATAAAATAATTATTATTACATAAAAAAGAAATAATGTAAAAATAGATTGTATATATGTGTATGAATACTATTTGCGCCTTTCCTGTATAGAGTGTTGAATTTGCAGAAAAACTTGGTAAAAATATAATATTTCCGTTTGTGACGGAATATTATATAGGTATTGGGGTACTACATGTATATAAGAAACCGGAAGATTATATATTTATTGTACATTTGTATTATTCTTAACAATATTAATCAGGCGAAGACCATTAGAGATGCATTATAAAAATATGAATTTTCAATAGGGACATTCAGAATTACCTATTTCTTTACTTCTATGCGCATGAAAGTTCAAATACAGATAAGAAATATATGTGTATTATTTTTTTAAAGTTTTATAGAGTACTGTTTTGAAAGAGAAATAAAGTTGTAAGATCAAGTGTCCTATGAAAAAAAGTGAAGTTTTTATAAAATTTTATATCACTGCATATATTTCTATTTTATTAGATTTATTTCCTCTGTTCTGTTGCTCTTTTGCATATTTGCTGTACAAATAATAAATCTAGAAAAAAATCTTTATAGATTATCACAAGCATTCATTTTACAGTAATTTTCTATCTTGTATAAAATATTGTGAAATTATGCTTATACATTTGCATCATGCTTAAGTATCATTTTGATATCGTTCGTAAATCGTGATCGATTTTGATTGTTGATAAAAATTACTTGGATAATGAATCATCATATACATGTGACTCATCATTTTTATACTAATGCAAATATAATGTATTATATAATAATCAATGATCGGCTTTTTTTGTACAAATTTATCATCAATCAGTATATATTGTATTAATATATAAACGTAATATCATCTTTGAGTCCGATTTAGAATGTTTTAATAATTTTGATGTGACGGAAAGATAACCAGCTTTGATAAGATATGCCTCGATGTTAAAACCGATAAAAGTTTATCTTACTTTTCGTTGTCTCTTACTAATACGAATCCTTGGAAAAGTTGAATAGAATTGATAAATGGCATTATTATAAATGAAAAACTTATTAATTTTTATTGATCTTTTATCAAAATTAATTTTTTATCAATATAAAAAATAAATGATTCGTTCAGACTTTTTGCCTAGAAAAAATAAATTATTTAAGAAATATTGTTATATTTTATTGAATGTCAAACGATTTTTTTTTAATGTAAATTTTATGTAAATTTAATCTCTATAAAAACTATAACGAGTTGATGGATATATTTCACATCTAAAATTAATAAATCGTCGGATTGGATATACATAAATGGATAAATAATGGTTAAATAATTAATCAAGTACAAAGATATTACATAAAAAGGCTTTTAATTTATGACAAAATAGCAGATCAAACATATAGAATTGCAAAAATCTATATAGTGGTGTGGATAATAGTATATGTGGTATATGTAATACGCCTGAATCTAAATGCTGTCGTAAAACTCCACTAAAGAATCTTAATTGTTTGATTGAGACCTCGTTACATCAACAGTGAACATTGAAAAGGCACAATCAATGTCAACAGTACAAAAGTATCAAAATTAAATACGCAGATATCGCCTCTCCTATAAGAAAGCTATTATAAACATATGCATTTTGTGAGCTTAGCCATTTCTATAACACCTGTACTTCGTTCATTATCCAAAAGCTCTATTAATGTATTACAATTTGGTTACTTTATATAAATGCATAAATGCACCTCATAGAGGTAGAAACTTTTTTTTTGGATGAGCGCGACTTAATTATGCAATCAGTCTCTAATTACAGTCTACTATGTTAGACAAAAATGTTAGACTTTTATTGTTACATCATGATTAAATATTTCTGATGTGCGAGTAACGACGAGTGCTAGACGTTGTTGCAAAGAAGGCTTTCCAGGTCGTAAAAGGTCAAGTTTTTTTTTTGTTAAATCCTTCTTTCTTCTGCATTTACATTTAAAAATGGAAACTTTATATATGTGTACATATATGTGTGTGTATTCGTGTGTGCAAAACGCGAACATCTTTTCGCGTAATAAAATCTAACAACATAATATAAAAGATTATATCAATAACTATCAATGTGTTACAACTGGAGTTACTACAAAATTCACTCACACGTTTGAGATGTCAAACTATCAATATACTGTAAAAGGCTGTGTAACGAAAATAACTATATCAAATAAAACTTAGTTATATATTAAAACTATATATGAAACGCCACATATAAACAAATATTAATTAATAAAAATGATAATAGTTTTCAGTGACTTTACAGTGTGTTACTACTTTATTTCAACATAACTCACGTGATATTAACAGAATGAAACAGAAGATTAAGAACATTTTATTATATCTATATATATCTTCCTTAATTTTTTTTATAATTCTTAATAGAGAGTAGAAGAAAGAGTGCTGAAATCATCGAAGGTTGCAAATAAGTAGCGCAAAGAGGTCAACTGAGAATACAATTATTTTATTTCAACGAATGTAATTACATCATTATGTAAATAATGTATTAGAAAAACGAAACAATATTCGCAAATTTCGTAATATTTTAAATTACTTCAAATATATTAATATTATCCATATTTCAGCACTCTGAGGACAAGTATGCAAGCAATCTCGCATTTAATTTGGCATTATGGATGTTAAATTCTTTTTCTTTTTTAACTCAAGTTACAAATAACAGGAATGTATTATATAGTAATATAATGTCAAGATAATAATAATATATTATTATCGAAATGTTTTAACAATATCATATAGAAAAAACAGATGTTTTCCGAATATTTTAAATATATGAAATTAGTGAATATATTATATACATATATGTATATATAAATATATTAGCATAAATTGCATGTATCTTATGTTCGAGTATATTCTTTCTGTACGTAATACAGAAGGCAGAACAAATTAAAAGTGTCAACCCACTGTAAAGTGTCACGGAAAACTTTCATTTTTCGTATAAATACAATTCTCTTTCCTTACGCGCTTAGCTTTCGATTATAGGAGTCGAACCTTCTTCCGTAACACGAGCTATATATTGTTTTATGTTTGTTATAGCAAGACGCAGCAGTTTGTTTTCTTCTTACGTTCACTCCCATCTCCCTGGTTTTCCTGTGCTTTGCGAGCAGCTATCGCCCGCATTAAATCAAAGAACACCTGCAAGCGTATCATGTTTATTCACCTCCTGCTTCTTTACGTAGGAACTTTCTTATATATAGACATTTACGAATAAGAACCAAGATGTATATTATGTTCTGTTCGCGTCCACATTGAAACACAATTGCCGACTGCGTATAGGAAATATTTTTAATTGTACTTAAACATTGATACAAGTACTTCTTTATCTCATAAAAACGTGTAACTGACGTATGTAACGTATACGAAGGAAACTTTGTAACAGTGTCGTTGAAAAGAAAGAAACGGAAAAGCAAGCGTGCTTGCGTAAACTGCAATAAGCTTTACAGATGACACGTATACATCGCTTCACACTTATGCAAATGTGAACAAATTATTAAACTGATGTTTGAGTGTCTCAAATATCAGCGAGCCTGAAGCAATACGAAGAACGAGATATGCAATAAAATATGTATCAAAAAGAAAAAAACAATTCTATTTTCTTTAATTTATTTTATATAACTCTTACTATTTTATATAACCCTTAATTGCATATTTTCATTGCATATCTGTAACAGTCATTGATAACCAGAAATTGTTTATTCAGATCGAATAAACTGTCAACATTCCACGTGTGTTTTCCATAGATACGTAAACAAAGTTGCCGAAACAATAAATGCCATAGTCTGATAACAAAGCATAAAGTAAAAAATATGGTGCAAGAAAAAACGGCAAACCTATAGAATAATGCACTTCTTTTTCTTCCTCTTGGCACGGTCTTTACCTCGACCATTGCTCGCCGACTTATCCTCAATCTTGCGTGACCTTATTTCACGCATCAAGTCGAAAAATACCTGCAAATGTGCAACGGATGCTATCTCAAAGCTTTAAGGCATATAAAATGTGCATTATAAAAAAAATGAACGATTATTTCCTTTCATTCTTAAGTGGAAGAAGAGAACGGTGAGATTGTGCGCATAAGCAATAGCACAACAAATAGAACACAGTGTGATATATTTAATAACACGTAAATATACACAGAATTAAGCTCATTTAAATGCGTATCTCATGCAATCGACTCATATGCTGTATACATTACATCGAGAACAACATAAAAGTGAAAAGCAACGAAAATATAAATATGTGAGCGCATCTGCCATTTTCAATAGTTTAACTATACAGAGTGTGTACGCTTGTAAATATCTGACTAATAAAGTGAATCTATAATTGTATATTTAATATCACATTACACAATATTGTAAAGTCTAGCTAAAAAATATTTAATCCTTTAAAAGTTCCTCATATTGTATTTTTAATAACAATAGTTTTTTATCATTTGGAAATATAGTATTCAACTAAGAAATATATATTTGTGATGAGAGATATGTTGGTTCTGTTAACAATATTAAATAAGAATTGTTTTAAGCAGCACTTTACCTTGTCTACATTTTCTTTTGTTTTAGCGCTTGTTTCTACATAAGGAACACCCCATTGCTGAGACCTTGTTTGAGCTTCCGCTAGACTAACCTTCCTTTTCTCTTGTAAATCACTCTTATTACCCACTAATAAGAATGGAATGTTTTCATCATTTTTTACCCTGAGAATTTGTTCTCTGTGAAAAAGATTTATTTTTTAGATTATTATGTGAAGAGCAGTTTGATAATAAAAAGTGTTGAATTGCATAGTGTATGTAAATTAACAATTAGTTGCATTAAATCTTACTCACCTGAATTCTTGTGTAGCCTGGAAGCTATCATCTTCTGTTATCGAAAATACACAAAGAAATCCTTCCCCACTGCGAAAGTAATTGTCTCGAATTGCTGCGTAATCTTCTTGTCCTGCAGTATCTAGGATATCTATTTGTACTTCTTCTCCATCTAATACAACTTTTTTTCTGTAGGAATCTGCTTTTGTAGGTTCGTAATCTTCAACAAACTGATTTTAACATTAGAATTAAAGTTAAAACAAAATTTATTTATATAATATATATCTTCTTAAAATATGATTAAATACAAACTTGAAAAATATTTAATACACATATACTTGAAATATTTAATACACATATTTGTTAAAACTCCAATAACAACCAGCTGCTGGATTTTATATAAAAATGAACTTACCTCATCATACATAAACTGCAGTGTGAGAGCTGACTTTCCAACACCACCACTGCCAACCATTATGACCTTATGCATTGCTTGAGTGGCTCCTGGTTTCTTCGACATTTTTGCCTTAATCACCTTCAATTAAGATAAAGTAAGTAGTGATTAAGTGTGCTTCATATCATAACAGTACAGGATAGTAACAAAGTTTTGTGTTCATATTCTGTGTCTAAATATATAAATGCAGAATTATATATAAAATATTACAATATATATATATATATATAAATATAAATAAATAAATAAATAAATATATATATATATATATATATATATATATATATATATATATATATATATACATTATGATATAATTTATATTATACAATATATATATTGTAATATATTATAATACTATATATATGTAAATTATGTATATTTGATGATAATAAAATTAATAATGAAGGTATGAAATTATACACATATATACATATATAAAATCTTTCTGATTTTTTTCAAAACATGACTTTCTTTATGACGATCACCTTAATTAAAGTAGAGCAAAGTTTACAATGGCAGGATGTAGGAATTATTCTGTCAGTATGAGAAATCTCTCTTTCTCTCTTTCTGAGACTATGTTCAAGCTATATAGTTACATGTGTATTCTCATTTATTGTGTACTTTATACACTACATAGAGAATATATATCTTCTGTATTTAAATTGAATAGCTCAGAATATCAGTATATCTTTAACAGTGGAAACTTCAAACGCTTAGTCCATTATTGTATATTTGTGAGAATTGGATTATCATATACACCTCATAGTCTTTACTCCATTATTCTGAATTTCATACTATATCTTGCATATGCAATAAACAACTATAAATATCATTCGAAAATCATAACATTCAAATTATGACAAAAGTTTAAATTAATTAAAAGTGAAAATCTGATAACAAGACCTTTTCGACTAATTTTACAATATTATGATCAACAATTAATTCTAGTTATAATATTAAATTGTAAACAGAAGCGTTACCGTTATTTCCGTGTAATAGGAAACATGAAGAAAAACAACACGTTTACCCAGTCGAACTGAATTATGCACATCTTGCGATATAGATCACTGTCGATTAGAATCCACTTTAGCTCTTGTCCCACAGATCAAACACATAATAGGAGAGAAACGTCGAAGGAAAAGCAAAATAATAGAATGAACCACCAAGAGAACATAAAACACACCTCGTAGATCGTCCGTAACTGTAAGCAGCGCCTTATAACTCGCGCACCTTTCTATTTCCGCATCTCGCTTACGGGAAATCCGATATAACGATTGTTATAAATAATTGCAACACCCTACCACGATCGTGTAGTACGTACGATCGCCGAATGAGATCATCGAGATTATCGAGCGGTGCCGATCGCACAGGGCGAATTAGAAGCCGTTGACGGGGTGTAACATGAGTAACGAAAAAGGCGGTGCCGTATTTCCGAACGACGGAGCGGAGATTCCGCGAAAGCCGGATGGATGATTGTTCCGCCCGCCGGATATAAAAGAAAATATTGAACGCACGGTGGCGTCTCGGGTACGCGATAACGAGAGCCGCGACCACCGGCGATAAATACCTCGGGAAATCGTGCGAATGTCGAAGCGCCTCGGGAACTCTCTTCCGTGATCTTCTCCGTAGCCCGTCACACACGCGTTGGTTTACACTACTTTCACGCAACCGCTAGTACCGATAGTGAAACGCGGTGTCGTCTCGGTCGTTGAATCATCGCACCATTTCTCTGTCACAAATTGCGCCACCAGCAACGCCACCCAGTGGCGATGAAGGACATTCACGCCATGTCCGATGTGGGTGGAACCCGATTGGACACAGATTGTAATGATTGGTTCGACCTGGTAATTCACTAGATAATTCTTTGCATCGGTTGGTTGTATCCAATCGTACCGTGGTCAATCGAGACACTCCCGTCCGATGTCCAATGCTCGTTATCCAATCAAAGCGCATTAGCTCTCCGGACGCGATGATATTTTTCGTCACCAGAATGCAATGCGAACTTCTCATTGGTCGACTTGAGTGGCGTGTCAAGTGCGACTAACTACTCGTGGCCGGTACCGAGAAAACAACACGTGAGTCACGAATCGGCAGGTGAAAGAGAGTGACATAACCTCTCATGAAAAGTAGAGAGAAAGAGATAATTAATTTTTGTAAGTGAAGCGTTGCGATTGTACGTAGATAACGTACATTCTTTCCGCGTTTCTCCCGTCTAAACGTTGACATTGTGGTATGATCGCATCATCAAATAAAAATCTCGAAAATGAGATTGAAGATCCCGTCGAGCAGATGCTAAAGAAGACCGGTTGCATCGAATTGCATTATCAAGTCCAAGTGTGTTTATCTAAATTATATCAGTATTGATTAACTTAAAGTCGAATTTAACTAAATTTATACAGTTTTTAATTTATTTCTATGTAAAATGAGTTCAATTAGAATTAAAATCAGTCCACTCTTACAATTTAATAGTGTTTCAAAGATTAAGTAACACCAGAAAAAAAGATCTGTTGAAATCAAGTATAAGCATTTTCTTTTTACTTTTTTTTTTATTATTCACATATATCTTGTACTTCCTTTCAATACGTTCTCTTTTTTAATCTGATAAATTAAAAATATGAAATTTACATTAAATAACACGGAGGACTCTACAATTCATTTTCAGGAATGTATAGCTGAACACCAAGATTGGAGAAAATGTCAAGACCAAGTAAAGAAGTTTAGGCAATGTATGGCTGAGCACACAAAACAACAAGAATTAGCACAGAAATAATAGTTATCTAGAAGATGTGGTTGTTAGGGAGATATGTCAGATCTCTGTTGTCTCCTGTTTGGAATGGGGAAAAATGTAAAATGGTAATAATAGTCCGATCAGATCTAGCTATGGGAAAAGGCAAAGTTGGTGCTCAGTGTGCCCATGCTGCACTAGAGTGCTGCCGTCAGACCTTACATAGCCAAAAGAAGCAACAAATGTTTCACTCCTGGTTACAAATTGGACAACCTAAAATTGTTCTTCAAATACAAAACGAAGAGAAATTGTTAAATCTAGCAGATAAAGCTCAACATGCTGGTCTAATTACCGCTGTAATAAAAGATGCTGGTAAGACTCAATTGAGGCCTGGTACAGTTACAGTTGTTGGTATAGGACCAGGATCTAATGAAATTATCGATAGCCTTACATCAAAATTAAGATTATTATAGTGCTGATTTTAATTGGAATATTTTATAGACTCAACTCTGTTTGAATATCAAGTTATTAGGATGAAAGGTTACATAATTATTTTAATATTTGGAATTTTGGTGATTTTCTAACAAAATAAGTTTCAAAGAAGCTTTTTCTCTTCATGCAAGATTAAAATTTTGTAATTATTACAATGACTGCAATATATATTTTGTGCTAAATATAATTAATATTAAAGTGTTATGTAATACACATAGAAATAAAAATCAATTTTGATCTGTAATATAAATTGTATATTTTCTTTACTAAGAGTATTAATTACGGACGTATGAAAATTTTTTAAAATTAGATACATAATCATTATTATAAAGATAATCAAATTTTATGTTCCTGATACTGTTTGTGTATCCCGATGGAAAGATTAAATAAGATATTTTTCTGTCTAGTTGATCTAGTGTGGCATAATAACAAGTTTTATTATACTAAAATAATGTCTCCACTGCTATAACGATATTGTTTTTCCACTCATCTGTGAATGGCATCTCAAGAACACTTTAAAGACACGCATAGTTGCCGGAAGTAAATAATATATATACACGCTGCACTACCGTCATATATCGTAAGCACAATTTATATAACATGCCTAAGTAGGTGTCTTTCAAAAAATATACTAAAAATTCTAAATACAATTTTGCCAAACAATTTGTTAAGAAAAAATAGACTATACGAAAATTGCTTTCTCATTCGAAGAAGAGTGTAGATATTAGAAATATAAATATATTATAAAGATTTCACCAATCTCACATTATATACATATGTGCTCAGCATTAAAATATTCCCAAGAGAGTGTGTATACCACTGTACTATCTAAGTTATTACAAGATTGAGCAATAATAGTGTAACAGGAAAACGCGCGCTCCCTAATCCTGCTAGTCGGTTAGATTATAATTTTATAATAATTATAATATTATAAATAAATATAAAATGTATGTATAACATCATAATAGTAATTATAATCTTATACATACATATAATTATTATAATATAATAATTATAATTTTTTATGCATACAGCTACCATATGGTTCTTAAACCATACAATTTTATTAGAGTTTAATTGGGATCAAATTGTTACGAAAATTATACAAGTATTTTATTTTTCATCATTCTCATTCAAGCGCACATCGCAGAATATTCTTTGTATGAAGTAAATATGGAATAATTACAAGATGCAATGGCGAATCAATGACGGCATCAAAAAACGTGTGTCTTATTCACGAGAAGTTCCGATGATCCTTAGATATACACACAGGATGTGCCTTGGGATTTCTTGTACAACAGAAAGACTCGCAGAATAGCTGGAACACTCCCGGGCGAAAGTTAAAAATTCACGACTTATGAATATGATACGAGTATGCAGAGCTGCAGTTTGAAAGACGAAGTGCCGTAAACCAAATTTCAGAGCTTGCGTTACAATATCGTCGTCTACAACTAATACATTCTAGAGTGATTACGGAAGTAATTATAGAGAATCGATCACTCGCGTTCGTATCGTCAAATGTGTAAAAATACATATCAATATCGAAAAAGAGAGATATGCATCATTCTTTACTAAGGAGTGTATACCAATCACATTTTTGCTCCGTACACTTAAAATCGCTAAGGATAAAATTAACGTCGTCGAATCTCGCGCGTCAAATCGAAAATTACGTTTGCCCGCGACGAATACTCATATCATACTCACGTGGCCACCTCTTGTCATGTCAGTTTGTCAACTCTATATCACATACGGTTGAATTCAAACGTTTGATGTATGCACGCGTCTCTAATTATAGAGCGGCGCACAGTGTTTCAGTTCATGTAGCACATACGCGTTGGAGTATTTTACTCATACTATTTAGACTGATCATTTGGCAAATGTACATCACATTGTTCGCAATGAAAAACGTCGTTCATCAATCTCAGCGTTATGCATCTTCGATGCGGACGAATATTAAGTGATTATCTTAACGAGTTCTGGCGGCTCTACGTAATTATTTAATACATGTGGCGCTTCGTTAAATTCGTCAAGTTCGTCACCGTTATCCGCGCCTTGCGCAAGTAAAAAGTACTGTTCGCTTCTGGTGGGCCATAATAGATGTGCCATTACGCAATAAGCGAAACAATCTACCGAGTACGTTATACCTACAAATCGACGGATAAGTGAATCAGACATATTTAAGAATGAGCTGTTTTCGCTCTCTATACGGGATCTTACTCACCTAACAACAGCTTAAACCTCCATAATGCGCTCACTTGAAGAGCTATGAGTGCTATAATGGGCAGATATATGAACCAAACTAACGACGACGCGCCAAAATGTAGGAGAAAGTGCAGCTTTTGAGTATTATGCTCGTATGTCATAGTGTTCCGTAGTTCGCACAGAAACCATACCATTATTGCACTTCGGAATAACAATATGAACCATCCTGGCCAAGTTTGATATTCGTCTATGTCCTCGATGATGTCGACCTCCGTCTGGAAAGCAAATCGCGCATTAATGAGTTTTTAATATGCACTTTCTCACTTCTGATGTCATAAATCAAGATGACTACGATTAGGAGCCAGGAGTTTTAAGTACAAATATTTAAACTCTTAATATGTTGAAAGTTTAAAGATTTGTATCTAAGGACAAAAACAAGAATGCCTGGAGTTAGATGCCAATGTTCAGGCATTGATATCTTTACCTTGACAGAAAATATAATATCAAGTGATTTATTACTGATGTTAGAGACGTCGTTAAAACGTCATCTTGTTCGCTGAGAACTCACCATATTCCAAACATAAAGTAAGATGTGGACGACTCCGTAACAAAACCATATGGCAAATACCAGCGGTTTCCATGTCAACTCCATTCTTGTAACTGCCCATCCTTTGGCAAGCAGGAGCAATAATAACATAAATGACGTCTAAAAACATGAAATGGCTTAATATCAAAGAATCGAAGTGCGAGTTATCTGGGAGTCGTTAAAATGTAAAACAAAAATTGTCTCAATGTTTTCAATGGTTCAAAGCAACTGCCTCGCAAGATACATCAATGTTGTGGGATCACGTTGTAGAGAATAACTACATTAATATATTCTTTCAATAGACAGAGTTCACAGTTCTACAAGACTGTCAAGTTCTACTCACCCGTGATAGAATATCAAAAATATCACCTGCAACTTCTAATTGCTCATAGCCCACTCCATCTAGTGCAAATTTCAACACGTGTATCAGGATCAAGCATACCGCTACGAATTCTAATAATAAACTAGCAGTGAACAATCTCGTTACTGGATGCTTCTGCAATCTCACTGCGTACAGCTGCAGCGGCACCAGTATGATGTAACACATGAAAAACAATAAGTACAGCTCGATAGTGTTCTGTCTGTCGTACGAGAATTGATAAGTCAGACTGTTTAGGCCACTGGTGTTTGGATTGCCGTTTACTAGCCAGATATCGTACTCCAGCTCGTCGTGCTTGTCGTAATGCTCCCATTGGCAAGTGGTTTCGTTTCTGTAGCACGCGACCAGGCTCATGTACCAGAATCGCGGCTGCCAAAAATCCTGTATGACGTACGTGAACTGATGGCCTTTGACGATATTCCACACTGAGTCCTCGTCCGGGCACAATCTGTCACGGGGACACGGCACTCGCCTTCAAGCACAAAGGAAAGCACGATATCACGCGATTGAAATACAACCAAATAGGTGCTATACGGTCGGGATACCACAGATGTGTGTCATCTCTATTACACACACACACACACATATATACACACACACACATATACACACACACACACGCGAGAAAGAAGAAACATTTCGCGAGCTACTCTACCTCAAGAAGTCCTGACCCTCCTCGTTGCAGTGCGGATCGTAGGAACTCTGTTTCAGCGTGCCGAACATGTAGGCGCACGCGGTGCTCTTGTTGGCGAGCGTGCGATTGCCATAGTACTCCAGGAAGTGGCCACGGTCCAGAATCGCCAGGGTAATCGGCGCGTCGAAGTCGGAGCGCGCGGTCACGTTGCCGAATATGTAGCCGTACGAGTCCTTCTGCCGGTGGCGGTCGGTCTTCTGGAAGCCGAACTTGATGAGGAAACGGAAGAACTCCCTCGTGTTGAAGGTGCCGGTGATGTGTGTGGCGTGCGCGCAGTCCGGTCGCAGTGACAGCCACAGCAACACGCACAGAACGCGCACCAGCCGCCGACGGCCGAGCATCGTTCCTCGTCGGCGCGCGATCGCAGTCCTCCTCGACCTCACGCTCCCGTCAGGAGGCGACGGACACTCTCGGCATTTTCTCGCGCACACCAGCTGCTATCCGCTGCTCGCGGACTATCACTTTCTCGTATTCTTTCTCACTCTGTCTCGCTTTCGCGACGGTGCGACGTGACGGCGCTCTCTCACACGCAGCAACTTACGGTGATAAAAGTGGCGGCGATCGTGATGGCTCTCATCGCCTCTTCCTCATGGAGACGCGATGGCACCCTCTCGACCATCATACCGCTCGTTGTCTGGCGCATAGTCGTCGCCACTGCCGCCGGTGATTCGCAACCGGACATGCGAATATTAATTGCCACTGGCCTTCCGAGAGCGCGCCCCGGGAGCGTTTAATGACCGACCGGCCTCTGTCCGTTAAGTGTATACTCTGTCTCTCTTCTCTCCTCGGCGCTTTGAACTCGCCTTTTCCTATCGATTTTCCCCACCCGTCCAACGGACGAGACGGACGGAGCGATTGTCTGCTTTCGGAAAGAGACGCTCTCACGCTGTCCGATCGTATTCGCTCAGCCGTCTGTCTGTCTTCTCGTCGCGATACCTTTCGTATCGGCTTTCGTGAGACAGATACACTTGTGATCGGAAAAAAACTGGTGAGAGCACGGGACTTTGAGTCAGGGACGCGCGAATGAACGAGTGACGCCGTGCACGGAGTAGACTGCTCGCAGCAGACTCGCTATGTGCTCTTTCGACCGACGGGCGTCTTTCGTCAGCTCGTTGCCAAAAATGCGACGTTATAGCGCGATGATGACGCAAAGCCGATAACGTCAATTGACCGCGTGACCGAGCGCACCGGCTAATTGCGCGTAGTAAATAATGGAATATATCGAACGCGTTGAACTGTAGTCAGCTGAAGTCTGTAAAAGATAACGATAACGGATGACTAAGGTTTGCCCTTGTGCTCAGGAATAAGATTACAGGAACTTGGGTGTGTGTACACGTTTTCGAGGAAGGTAGTGGGGTTTGTTTGAGGTTATGTGATAGCGTGACTGTGCTATTGGTTTTGGCGCACTTGTGCAAGCATGTTTTTCTTGTTATTTTCCTTATTTGCAAGATACGAATAAATGAAATAAACATGCTAAGAAAATTATATATCGATGGCAAACGGATAAGAAAATCTAATATCTCTCAAAAGCGCGGTATACACCTAACCTTTAAAAATTTATCAACTTACGTGAAAAAACTACTAGAAAAGGCCGGTTTATTTAAATTGAATGCGGTATTGATTTATATATATAAGAATCTTGAGGAAATTTAAATGATTTGGAATTTGGGACTATTTGTTATGATATGATTGATTTCTTATAAGTTAGGGTTTTCTTTGGAACGTAGAAAGATGCTATGATAAATGTTCCTCGTATAAGATTTTGGCCCTGAAAAGGGCCGTTTAAAATTATTAATTGAAGAATTTAGGCACGTTCTCCGCGGATTCGGCGTGCCAACTGGATATCTTTAGGCATGATGGTAACCCTCTTGGCGTGAATTGCACAAAGGTTGGTGTCTTCAAATAATCCAACGAGATAGGCTTCGCTCGCTTCTTGCAGAGCCATCACAGCGGAGCTCTGGAAGCGAAGGTCAGTCTTGAAGTCTTGAGCAATTTCACGAACTAATCGCTGGAACGGCAATTTGCGAATCAACAGCTCTGTGCTCTTCTGGTAACGGCGAATTTCACGAAGAGCAACTGTTCCAGGACGGTAACGATGTGGCTTCTTTACACCACCGGTTGCAGGCGCACTCTTACGAGCAGCCTTTGTCGCCAATTGTTTGCGGGGAGCCTTTCCTCCAGTTGACTTACGAGCTGTTTGCTTGGTTCTAGCCATCTTCAGTAGTCAGAGTGGTCAGTTAATGGTGCGTACAATACGACGTGTTGTAAGCGAGTGCATGGTTCAACTAAAATGCGCCTTTATATAGGCCCCACTGTGGCCCAGCGATCCAAAAGCTGTTTGCTCATTGGCTAACCGAGCGGTGGTGGGGATAGCACTAGTGAGAGTAGAGATTGGCTGAGACGCGATGCCAGCGCGCATACGACGTGCACTCGCTTATAACAATGAAACAGTTTTGACTCATTTTGGGACGCATCAAATGCTCAGCAGAAGAATGTTTTTATCTTATTTCGACATGTTTTTTTTGTTAGTAAAAGTCGAATTCGTCTCGAAATATGTCAAAAGAAAGTATTACAGCCGTTCTACAAACGAGTGTATATTGTACAGTAGAATGATGAAAATATAAACATAAATAAGTTGCTAACAAGGACTCCTTTTTTTGTTAATTAAAAAGAACGAGTTGTTTAATACTTAATTTAATACTCATACTAATAGCTGCGTTGCTTGGATGCTCTATTCAACTGCAACGTTGCTGATTGGCTGTTAGCGCTGTGATGGGGATGCATTCTATGGAGGCTATAAGAAGTCGCCGTTGAGTGAGTCGGTATATTCGCTTCAAAGCTTCTTTAGAGTACGTATCGTTATACAACATGACTGGTCGTGGTAAAGGAGGAAAAGGGTTGGGAAAAGGAGGTGCGAAGCGCCACAGGAAGGTTTTGCGTGATAATATCCAGGGAATCACTAAACCAGCTATTCGTCGTTTGGCGAGGCGAGGTGGTGTAAAGCGAATCTCCGGATTGATTTACGAAGAAACTCGAGGTGTGCTGAAAGTATTCCTTGAGAACGTCATTCGTGATGCTGTCACCTATACTGAACACGCCAAGAGGAAGACCGTCACAGCTATGGACGTTGTCTATGCTCTGAAACGTCAAGGAAGAACCTTGTACGGTTTTGGCGGTTAAGAAAACTGATCTTACAAAATGGAGTCGCCTTCACGTTTTCTCCAGAACGAACACTTCATTTCATTAATCTCTCATTATGAACACCTTTCCTTTCACTCCATCGGTCTTTTTAAAGACTACTATATTCTTCATCATCCAATATAAACACCTTTCGTTCTATCATCGATCTTTCTGAAGATCACCATATCATCCTTCATCAGTCAGTACGAACATCTTCCTTTCCTTTCATCATCTTAAAGGCGAGAATCAACGGCCCTTTTCAGGGCCCCATTTAACTAAAACGTTGAAATCGCTCTGTTGCAAAATCGCATAAATTACCTTGTCAATATTTACACGTATATTTTTTAAGTAAAAGAAGACATTTGAAGCAATCTATATCTTACTGTAATATAACTTTAATTAACCCAGATAAATTAATCCATAAAATAACAAAAAGTTTTCTGAATAAATTTAATTCGTATATATGTGCAACAAGTAAAAAATTCGCAATACCTAAGTTGCGTTCACTTTGGACGTTTTCGCGTTAGTAGTAATATTCTATTTTTATTGTTCATTATATGTTAAAGATAGAATATTTTTAGCACGAAAGCGTTTCAAACGCGAACGCTGTTCTGATATAATTATCAAAATCACATTTTTCTCTTTATGTGTAGATTGATTCATGCACATAGTAACCGTTTCTTGGCTATATTTGTTCTCTCCATGGTCCGTGTGATACCTATTTAAAGGTTAAGAGGAATCTACGCTTTCAGTAACATTGCCGACGGATAACCGTTGACCGGTCCGGTTGCTTCGTGTGAACAATAATTTTACGATATTCAATAAACTGCAATCTAAAACTGATCGTGACACATTGTGAATTTCCATTATATACGAATAGCTATCACTTTTGAGGAATATAAATGTCAATTATGTATACATTCACATTTCGACCGGTTCTCCGCTACGTGACGCGAGAGTTAACCATGACGTTCAAAGTTCGTCCCAGCGTGACTCGACTATACCATTCCATAGGACCTTTGACACAATTGACAGACGATGAATTGATGACGAAGGAGACGGTCGCCAAGCTGGCCAAGGAGGAGATCGCACCGCTGGTGCGGAAAATGGAGAAAGATGGGAAAATAGACGATGGCTTGCTGCGAAAGTTTTTCGAGAACGGCCTGATGGGCATCGAGATCCCGGTCGAATATGGCGGCACGGGGAGCAACTTCATGAGCACGATCTTGACGATTGAGGAGATCTCCAAAGTGGACTCGGCTCTGGCAATCCCCGTCGACATCCAGAATACCTTGATCAACTCGCTGATCTTAAAGATAGGCTCCGAGGAACAGAAACGGAAGTACCTGCCTGCCTTGGCGCAAAACACCATCGGTAGCTTCTGTCTGTCGGAATCGCAGTCTGGATCTGACGCCTTCGCCATGAAGACTCAGGCGCAGAAAGACGGCAGCGAGTATGTGATCAATGGTACGAAAATGTGGATCTCGAGTTCTGATGTCGCAGGACTGTTCCTACTGTTTGCCAACGCGAACCCCAGTGCCGGCTATCGCGGCATCACGACTTTCCTAGTGGAGCGAGGTACACCAGGTATGACGATCGCCAAACCTGAAAACAAGATGGGTATGAAGGCGTCGGGTACTTGCATGCTCCATTTCGACAACGTCAGGATACCCGAGAGTAATCTGCTGGGCGAATTTGGCTGCGGGTACAAGTATGCGGCTGGTTTCCTGAACGAAGGTAGAATCGGCGTAGCGGCACAGATGATCGGTATCGCTCAGGGTTGCCTGGACGCTACTATACCGTACATGCTGGAGAGGAAACAGTTTGGGCAGGAAATCTTCTTGTTCCAAGCGGTACAGCATCAAATCGCGCAGATGGTGACGGACGTGGAGTGCGCCCGACTGATGGTCTACAACGCGGCAAGGCTGCTGGAAGCCAAGAAGGACGTTATGAAGGAAGCGTCCATGGCGAAGTTAGTCGCGTCTGAGACCGCGCAGCGTGTTACCTCCAAATGCATAGACTTGATGGGAGGAGTTGGTTTCACGACGGACTTTCCGCATGAGAAGTATTTCAGAGACTCGAAAGTCGGGACTATTTACGAGGGCACGAGCAATATACAATTGTCAACTATCGCAAAGTGCATTCGTAAGCAATATTCATAAGAAAAGTGAGAAATGTGATCGCAAAGATCATGTGGATTTACATGTGGTTTTGTGAAATTATTCGAATATATTATATTTGTTATTATTTATATATGTATATTTGTTATATGTTTTTCTGCATCTCTTTACAATATATGTTCTGCTGTTATGTAACGTAATATATATTTCATATAGAATGATTTCATATAGTAAGAGTAAGAAATTGATCAGTCAAATATGAGAATATTGATTGATCAATTTCTTACTTCTCACAGTCATACTTTACTTTTATTGTAGACAGACCTTTAGCGACCTGTGTAATTTTAAGGAAATAAATAACTCGATTTTTCCTTTTCTTTACAAAATTAATTTTTTATTTTTACTTTATCAAAGATTTTCAACTTCTGAAATTAGGACAAAGAATATAAGTGGATCATTATAATATATATATATATATATATATTGGTTAGCGCGATAAGTGGAATTCGTAATTGCTTGCCTATCTGTCGGATCTTTACATAATTTGTTATCGCAAATAATTGGAAAGGCAATTGAGTAGTCCATATCGACTGCACTGTATATCATTATAGATATAAAATAACGTACGATATGTGCATATTATGATTACCAATGTTTCGGTTTTTTACTTATAAATGACTGATGCGAATAAAAAAAATTATTGTATTTTCGTTAAACAAAAAATTTTTGGCTCGCACATTACTTCATTAAACATTATTTTCTCGTAACTACACTAATTTTTCACGATTGGCTTGCAATTTAAATTGAGTTTAAAAAATTCTTTACAAATGTGAAGAAGTTAAAGAAAATCTTCGAAATATTATCGAACTTTTGCATTTATTTGTATCGTCAAATTAGTGCTTCAAATAGTTTTTTTACGTTTGACTAACTTAGACGATGCGTTGTATTCCAACTTACACTGATGAGAATGAATAATCCGGGCATATTTAATGTTAATCGTAGGTCATGATCATGAACATAGTATACATGGACTCCGAATGCCCTGTTTTGTCACCTAATAGAGTGAAGCCAACATTTAGAAAGAGAGTTAGAAGAGGAAAGGCTATAGTTTTCTTTCTATTTTGTCACTTTTTTGTTGCGCATGCATCCATTTTTTGTTTCCATAATATTACAGAGCACAACAGCATTCCGACTAGACTGGCAAATAAAAGTAGTCTTATTTAAATTTTATTGCACACTTTGTGCAGAAAGAAATAGGGAACATAAAGGGGCTGTACTTTTCTGACCATATGCGGGGTTCATGTATACTACGTTCATGGTCGCGATACAAGCAACGATAGGTTTTTATCGTGGACTGAAGCCGCGCACGCACATGTAAATACAGATGCACGTAGCAGACGCAACGTTGCCACATCTGCAACTAGACGGACTTGCTCATTTAACAGCTGAAGAGGACTCTGCCTGAATAGTTAAAGCTGCACTACTGGTTAAAAGTGATCGTCATAATACAAAATTTGTAGTGTAATTAAATATTAAGTCATGCAGAAAAACAAAGTTTAAGAATTAAGATTTCATTTGAACTATAAGTTTTTAATTATATATTTTTTAAATTGCTTTAAAAGGTAATTTCAACGTATGATAAAAATGGTGGCCCTGAAAAGGGCCGTTGTTTGAGTATTGTGGATGCAGTCTTGCTGTTTGCTCTGGCTTAACCACCAAAGCCGTACAGAGTTCTTCCTTGACGTTTCAGCGCGTAAACGACGTCCATGGCAGTGACAGTCTTTCTCTTAGCGTGCTCGGTATAGGTGACAGCGTCACGAATTACGTTCTCAAGGAACACTTTCAGCACACCTCGAGTTTCTTCGTAAATTAAACCGGATATACGTTTGACACCACCACGTCGCGCCAAACGACGAATAGCTGGCTTCGTAATACCCTGGATGTTATCACGCAAGACTTTCCTATGACGCTTCGCACCTCCCTTTCCCAATCCCTTTCCTCCCTTACCACGGCCAGTCATCTCGAATAACGATACGTGCTTGTCAAGGATGCGGTAGAAAATGTGCAGCGTCTCGGCCGTGGCACGATTATATAGCAGTACACTAGGCGTATCCCCACTACCGCTCCGCCAGCCAATCACAGACGACTGTCAATCTTACACGCTTCGTCTTTCTGTTTGGCGATTTTAAATGAATTTCTACGGTGCACTCTAATTTTTGGTTTCTAATTTAATAAATAATGTATGTGTATATTAAGAGAAATTAAACAATATTTGTTACTTGGAGATTTTTATGAGATATCTTCTGCTAAAGTCACAGAAATATCCCTACCACTTCTTCAGCAGCCAATCACCAACGCTTCTGCGGCTATTACTTTTTTACTAATGATAGTAAAATAGCCACCGATTAAAATGTGTGATTGTCAACTAGATAGTGCAATTTTGTAGTTGTCAATCGTAATCTAATCAGCAATCATTGATACGGTCTTTATGTACTTTGAACATATTGGACGATTAAGAATGAAGTTACGAATCTTTCGTAAGCCTTCGTTACTTTGGAAATGTTTATATTCATAGATTAATTTTTAGACCAATATTTGGAAATGTTTACATTCGTAGATTAATTTTTAGGTCGGTACTTATAGTCGAGTCTTACATTTAAAACTGCTTTATATTTATCTTTAGATAAATTGTACACTCTTTGAAAATTTAACTATATGTAAAGAATGAAAACTGATATAATGAAGAAAATTATATATAAAGAAATGACCCGCATAGCATCTGAAGATGAACTTAAGATGGTCTTAACCCGGGAGTGGGCGCATATCGGTCATTTCCTCGTACTTTTTCGTTTTCTACTTATATCATCTAATTTATTGACATTATCGTATTTTCGCTTTTACGTAAATTTTCTTTGATATTTTCTCGTATAGCATGTCGTATAGAAGTAGACGACGTAGACGCGTTTATTTCTATGTGAAAATTGATATTTTTTTAGCAATCGGTCTAAAAGACTATAGCGCGCCCACTAACGTTAGACTTTTATCTTTGCCGCGTCAGCATCGCTCGATGTGCCGCCGAATGTCTATTGTCTTTCCGACATTATAGTTGGACGGAGGTTCTCTTTTTTTTTTGTTGAATCAATAACATTTCAACAGCACGCATAGTTGGAATATATATTCTTGATTCAATAGCGATATTATTAAAACTAATACTTGAATTATTGAAACAATACATAATGTGATAGTTTTATTATTGTTATTGAATCAAGAAGATTTATTCTCTATTTCTAAATTTATATCAAATAAATTTTTAAGTTTATTAAATCAATATTTAAATTAATAAAAGTAAAACGAGAGAAGCAAGAAATTCTTATTTTATTTTATTAAACTAAAATAATGTTATTTTTTACCAATGCAATTAAAATAAAAATATTATGATTTTTTTAATATTCACATATGTATAATAAGTTTAATATGTTTTCTAAACATATTAGATATAGAAATGGTAAAGAAAAGGTGGGAAAAAGAAGAAATAGTGATATAATAAAATTATTTCTTTCAATTATTATGTTTCTTTTAATAATAGGATTGGTAATTTATTAATTATTACTTAATTATTACACATATATGTGCTTAAATATATTTCGGTCGAAATAACCGATACGCACTCACTAACGTTAGTCCCGTTAACGCTCCCACTCCCGAGTTAAATATAAAATCTAATAATGAATACTAACTCTAGACGTTCTTATTACAAACCTGGGGCCATATTATTGAAAAATATCGTATACAATATTTCGATAAAAAGCTATAATATATGTAATGAACTGTAGCTTTTTATAGAAATATCGTATGCGATATTTTTCGAGAATAAAGCCTCTTTACTAGCTGAATGGTAATAAAATACTACTACTAGTTAATTACTAATTAGAAACTACTTTGTGAGAGCTTGACTGTATCGCGCAATTGTTTTCTTTTTACAGCGGCTGCGTTCAGCAGAACACAACGGTTGCACAACCATTTTATGATTTTCTGCTCAACGGTACTTAACGCATTCAGCGACGCAACATGTTTACTCAGCGGTTGCCATGTTTTACAGCGAACTAAAAGTACGCTGAATCTGAATATATATATATACACACACACACACATAAAGATATATAATGTTGTGGATACTATAATTTAAATTGAAAAAAAAAAAAA